CACACCATTGGGGGGGGTTCTTCAGGGGTGGGGACTGGGAAACAGATCCATCAAGGGCTTACTTCCTCAGAAAGTCCCAGGACCTTGTTTTTTGACAGTGGGTCCCTAGGTCAGTTTGGGGACAAAGCAGCACAAGTAACAACAGGCAAAGCAGTCTAATTAGCTGTCTTGGTTAAAAAGGGCAACACCTGTCAGTGGGTATCAGGAAAGTGAAGACAACCTATAGGCGAGGAGAAAATATTTGGGAACTGCATCTGATACGAGTGTAAGATTCATCTAGAAGTGGTTTCACCATGCATTATTCCCTGGTTCTGTTTTGAACGGCTGCCTCGTAGTGTATGTAGGGTTCTACGTGAACCCAGGGAAGTGCTTTGGAATTCTCATTCTTCAAAGCACCATCCATCATTTTTTATGGTCCACACAGTTCAATGCCTCTCCATAGTCAATAAAATACAAGTAAACATCATCCTGGTGTTCTCTGCTTTTATCCAAACCTGGGACGTTGGCAATCTGAAGAGGGGGAGACTGAGGTCATGCGATTAAGGCAATAAAGGGGCCCAGGGCAAAGCCAAGATGAACGCAGTCGGTATCTGCCCCAGCACACGGCGGCTGTCCAGAGGCCGTAAGAAAACCAGACCTGAAACACTAACCAACCGTCAGAGAGAAGGAATTTCTACCTGATACTGTAGCATGTTAGGAGCCCTGGTGGTGCAGTGGTTACGCGTTAGGCTGTGAGCCTGATGGTCAGCAGTTCAAAACCACAGGCAGCTCTATTGGGGAAAGACTGGGCCTATAACAGTTACTGTCTCGGAAACCCACAGGGGTCCGCTGAGAGTCAGCAATGACTGGCTGGCAGTGAGGTGGTAGTTTGTTACTCCTCCATTCCAGGAGGCATACACATTCTGCTTCCTGGCATGGGCTGCCAGGCCCTCGGGGGAATGGGGGGGGGCAGCCCTCAGCCCTCACCCTTCCCACATGCTCCCTGGGATCCCCGGCTCCATTTGCCCATCTTTCCTGTCCCTTCCTGCCTGCTGAGCTTTGGTCTCAGTCGCATGCTGCTCTTTGGTTTCCTTCGGTTGACTCTCCTGAAGAACGCCTTCTCCCTCGAACCCTGAAGCCCCATCTGCTGCAGCTACGAATACCTGACCCTGTCTTCACAGTATCGGAAGATGGCCTCTTTCGTTATGAGCCGGTTGGTTCTTCTCATTTCGTTCAGGACGGCGGTCATCCAGTCCTCCACGCGCCCCTCGGCCCGGATGATCTTACGGAACTCCATGACTTCTCCCTCTGCTGAGACCATGGCCGACACAAGCTTCTCCCCGCTGTCTCCGTCGTTGAACTTCAGGGACGCGATGTTGTCATACATCTGCAAGACAGCGGGGAGCCGGGGCCTGAGACACCGTGCGCCATCCCGTCAGAACAAGAGGACGCGGGCAAAGCAACTGGCAAGCTGGGGTCACACAGCAAAGAAAGGTCCTCAAAACCAAGACTTCTTGGACACTCTTGTTTGCTCCGTCATGGGCAGAAGAGAGGAAAAGGAGGCAGACTCCCTACGACGGAGATTCCAGCACTTGCACCGCTCTAGGGTAGTATCAACACGGGCACCACTTCAAAAGGGTGAGGTGGCCTGGTGAGGACACACTCTGCCCGTCCCAGTCGGTGCTGAGCTGATTCTGACTCGTGGTCACCCCGCGTGCGCCAGAGCGGAGCTGCACTCCTCAGGTTCCAGTGGCTAAGGTTCCAGGTGTGGATCACCGCGGGCCCTTTTTGGCAGGTGCCTCAGAGTGGA